GTTACCTTTGGGCTGTGTGTACAAGTACAGTGCAGAAACGATTGTTACATGTACAGAAGTTTACCACCTCGCGCAAAGTGTTTTTCTGGATATAATGACTTGTGCGATTGCGTGCAAATGACATGAAAATTGTCGTGCCAATAGCAAATACTGCACCGCGCGGTCGAATGAATTTGCGCGTCTGTGGAATCGGTTCGTCAAAGTCAATGTGTCCATGAAAAATTTTCCTACTGCTTTTCGCGTCCTCGACGCTTTTAGGTATCGCGACTAAATTGGATGATAATGAGCGAAACACGGAGGTGGAGGAAGCGTTTGAAGTAGAAAGTCAACCGATTTTATTCGCTGAGATCGGTACAAAAAAAAGTCAGGGCTGCTTATCGCGTTTCTAATTTATGAAAATGGGCGACTTTCCTACGAGGCATTTGTGAAAATCGATCTTTTTAATTGCCCACGCGAGTGCAGTGAAATCTCTAGTGCTAAAAACAGCCCGGGGGATTAACGCTGCGCAAACGGTTTGTTCTTACGACGAGGCTTGCGAGATTTTGGTAGAGAATCCACGTAAAAATGTTAAGGCAATAGGTAGAGTAAAAAGCTCATGCGCGAGTAAATAATGAGACTCTTGTTCCATGAAAGTTTCCTCGTACAATCGACAAGTGGAAAATCATAGAAACGTGAATGCAATTATGTATCGTCGCACATGAGCAACAGACCGAGCTTGCGCCTCACCAATGACAATGAAAGCCATCACAGCATCGGTAATTGTTATTTAAACTCGAAAAGTACGTACGATTGTCCCCGACGGCAGTCCCTGCACTGATGTAGTCAGTTTGCACGGACATGTCACGCAGGTATGCTCGGCGATCCTTGCGAAAACCACAAGACGCACTCAGTCCGCCACTCACTTACAAACTCATGAAGCCAAAGGCGTGCAATATCGACGTCAGAGATTTATCAGATTTTTTTTCTTTTCTTGCGATGTGACAACTACGTACAGAGGCTTGTTCGCGAGATGCAGCCCGAGTCAGTTCGCCGTCGAGGCTGTGACGATACTGCCGCCCGACTGCCGCTGGCGCGAGAAAGCCGGAGTCGAGCCGATACTTACACCGCAGCGCTCTCTGCCCGCGTACCTACTTTTTTATTACACCTGCATACATGGTTCATTTCACGAAAAATTCAATACTTTCACGTGTGATGTGAAATTTTTTAAATTAAACATTTAGAATTTTCTCGTTATTCGTAAAGTCTAAGCTAGTTGATAACTTTTAGTCCCAATTCTATTATTATTAAAAAACCCATGCTTATTTGAGTAAATGTTTTTTTTTTTACTGTTGAAGAAGTATTACAGTCACGATAGGTAATAGTACTTTTCTGACAATTTTTAAGCCATAAATGAGAGTTTTTAAATTAAATACATAATTATGTTTGTCACACATTAATTGTGGTCAAAAGCTTTTTATTCGGAACAACACTGCAACTAACCACTTTTGAATTTGAGGCTACCGGAAAATTTATTGTGTTTTCATTCGCTCCAAAATATAAAACAATTTATTCCAAGTATTTAAAAACCGATCAGTTGGGCAAATTAATTAATTGGTTTTGCGTATTTCAAGTGTTTAAAGTTGGCTTAACACCTGAAAACGGAAACGTCTCGTACTTTTTCAACAATTAATTTTTTATTTTTATAAACAGCTAGAAAACAATCTCTAAGATTCAGACTTTCACTTAATAGGCACAGTGGAAAAAAATAAGAAAAAGTAAATGCCTTGGCACCAAGGAGTTGAAAATAAAGTATTCAAAATCTTCGCGTTGCGGTAATATTGGCCTGTTTTTCTCTTCTCACAACCGCGCAAAAATAATTCCGATTGAATCTCGAATACGTACATTAGGGACAATTAGTTTACACCTTTTTAAAAAAACTCTTACTCGAAATAATTAAATCCACTGTTTTCAAGCATATAGGCTCCATGAAATATCGCGGTTTTTGTGAAATGACCCATGTATGTATACACGTATAAGTGCATTGCGATGGCGAAAAGGCGATCGAGCCAAATGCCATATGTACCTGCCATCAGCCAATTAATTTGCATGATGCACGCGTCTGTGTGTGTATTGTACGCATGTAAGAGAGTAAGTACAGGGAGATAACGATAGTGGCTATTCACCGTACGATAAATATTGGACTGGTTTGCGAAACTGTGTAAAACTCAGCTGGTGCTTCTCTCAAGAGGTTTTTCTCCTCTGCAGGAGATTTCTCACTTACTAGTTTCAAAATATTTCGCACAGGTGTGCCACGCAGATAGCCCATAAATGGTTTCGAAGCTCGTAAAAATCGTAAAAAAAGCTCGTAAAATCGTATGATTTTATCATAAAATACGTGCTTGACGTAACTATATCTGCTGATTACGATTGTATGAAAAAAATGATTAAAGTATTAGTTACAAGATAATCATTTTCCTCGAGTTTTTACTCGTTCACGTCGATAGTCTGTAGTGTTACTGGCCATAATTTTTATTTCTACAACAAGTAATAATGACAACATGTGCTGAAGCTCCTTGCTTACGAGGTATTATCGACCCACGCCAGATAATTGGCTGCTCGTTTATTTAGCAACTTGCACTCCTACGCTGCGTTGTGCTACGACTTTGATTAACGTCACTACTTTTTCTGAGCTGGCCATATTTGCTAGTGACATTAGGCATATACTTGAGCAATGACTGGTTTACTTACATTGTATAAATCAGTGAAATTTAAAAAGAATATAACCACAGTGGCATGGAAAAAGAAAGATGCGTAATACTGAATAATGATGTACCTTACAAAAATGTGCGTAGGTATGGCTTATTTCGAAACGCATGTTAGAACGCGCAGTTGTAGGAAGACGATGAATAAGAATTAAAAACTAGAAAGGAAGCATTAGCATTAAATGGTGGCAGTAGTATAAATAACAGTAACAAGTACAAGACCATAAAGTAATTTTAATTTTTAAAAATAGAAACTGACAGGGAATCAATCATACGTGTATTGTACAAAAAATATACTAAATTGGAGAGCTTTTTTTGTAATTTGTTGTAAAGTGCCCTAATTAGTATGCAATCTTTACGAACAGAAGTCGTACTAAGTAAAGATCATAATGGAGATAATGGCTGATGTAAATACGTAGATTTGCTTAAAAAAGATCAAATTAATGTATTCAAACAAAAACGAACTTCGAAACCAACAGTTATTTTTTAACTTCATTTTTACTAAAAATGTTATGAATTTACTTATATAGGGAGGGATGAAATTATCTGCGGCTGCATAAAATTTTTAAATTTACTAAAAGTAGGTGATCACAAATGGATTGGGTGATTGAAAAACCCCATTTCATACTGTACTTTTCTGAATCACAGTTTTTTTATAAATGAACCAGTTTTTTCCATGCCGTGTATGACTATATTGCAAGTGCTGGGAATACATAATTTGTACAGCTCAATTTTATCAGTTATTACATTTCAATAATGAACAATTTAAGCACCAATTTAATTACATTTTATTAAACAAGTACGATTTACTATATAAACTGAATTTTATTTCGATTCATAGCCCAACTTAATTGTTGGTCAAACTGTTAATTGACCAAAATAAAAATTAAATCATTTGTATGTTGTTTTAATAATTCAGAGTGAATTTTAATTGTCAAATTACACGTTTAAATTTGGAATTACATTAAACAACAACTAGGAATATTTTAAGATATTTCAAATGCTTCTGGAGCGGCTCTTAGACATAACTTTAGTTATAACTGATAGGAAGAATAGGAAGAAAAAGTGCATTTTCAAGATTAATTCACCAGAAGTAGACAAAAAAAGTTTTCAGAGTTTTATCACAACATTAAGAACAAGCCACGCTGCTTTCTTTGGGTTATCGTGTGTAGTAATATTAAAAAATTTATTTTGCACATCCGATATCCTCCCTCGACAAATTAATTACTAGGCCTCGAATATTGTGACTAAAAATCAGTGTACATGTATTAAAATGATCAGTACAAAAATTAAACGAGCCTACTTTACTTGGAATTCTATTGTAAAATGTATGTAAATGGACCTATATAAAAATTGTGTGTAGAGTTGTTTGAATCAATAATTATTAAAAATCAAACAAGAACTTTTGTATTGTAACGGGCATAGTCCATTTATAAAAATTATTTCTCGAAAACTATTTAAACTTTGTATACATTACGCTGTCGGGACACCAAAAGGCAAATTTTTTTAAAGATTGTTTTCACATTACGTAAGTTGTGTACTTTTACAAGACTTTCTTTTAAATTTGTATATTGTTTTTACACAATGATTACTAAATGTAATTAGCTTACTTTGTAATAAGGATTTTATAAAATATCGATTACTTGTCATAGAGCCAATATAATGTAAAACTTTAACATAGAATTTTTTTAAAACATTTTTTTTTCGTGGAACTGTTTCTTCAAATTCTCACTTTGCAAGATCTGTAAATTATTTTTGAAAGCACAAATTATCGTATTCCCAAAATCAAATGGTACGTGTTAAGAAAATGAGCTCTCAAAAAGCACTTTCCTATAATGTCTAACGCCTAATGTTCAAACCATATGTGCTTTGGCCTAATGCTGTCTCAATGACAGACTTAAATTATACTACTTCATATTTATACTTTTCTGTATCACATTATTACCGTACACCACATCATTCAGTTCAGTTTTAAATAACTTTATCATGACTTAGGGAATAACGTGAATTTTAGGTCATGCCGATGAACGGATCATTTTCGAAACTGTTCACTTGATGTTACAAGTCACTAAACTTTCAAGTGATATCTTTTTAAGAACCATCCTTCCTTCCAATTGATTTTTTCACTAAGTTTTAAATTATCATTTAATATAAATAGTAGTAATAATTTTTTTTAACAGTTGTATGATTAATTTTCCTACAGATATTTAATCAATAAATATACATTATACAATACAATTATTTTTCAAGACAACTTACCTCGTATTTGCTTGCTATAGCGGTCACTGTGGCGGGAGCCGCACCTCGTTTCTGAGATTGCTCGCAGGCACCTGATGTTCTCTCGACAGACGCGTGCCAACTCGATCTGAAACAAAAAATTGAGATTTCTATTGTCAGTCTCAAAGTCCTTTATTTTTATTATTACTCTCGTCTTTACGCAAGGAACATCATATGGTTTTTATTTTCTTATGTAGATTAAATAAACGTGATGCAACTTTGTAAATTTTGGATAGAAAATTGTTGACCACAAGTTAGTAAAAAGATTTACAGTCAATATACTGCAACTCATCAAAGCTGTCAACAAATTAGGCACAAGACTTTCAGATTCAGTCAATTCACAGTATTCTTTTAATTATAATGCTGTGGTGTGGTAACAGAATGAACAAACAAATTTATTAAATGTAAAGAATATTTATGAGTCTGAATCGAAAAATCTTCATTTAAGACCGGCTTGGAAAAATAAAGAAGAAAAAAGTCAAAGATATGAGTCATACTACGTTTTAATATAATCACGGTATGGATTTGAATGAATCGTGAAATTAATCATTGTATTGAATTTTTTATCTGGGATAGCTTTTCAAACAACTTTTGAAATAAACAAGTTACAGAGTACAGAAGAAAAATAACTTTGAAAACGACATGAAAACTAAAAATTTCCATGTACGTTGGAAATAGTAAAACCTAAATAAAATTTATAGTAAATTTGGACATCGAAAATGTTATAAAATTTAAGTATTTCAAAGTATTCTAAACTTGTGATATACACATTCTGGGAGCGATTAAGACTAGTGTTGTAATCATCAATAAATATTTTATTATTTTGTTATTCAAGAAACATACCACACTACTTTAAAAGAACAAAATTTGGTTCACATTTTTTGTTCATTTTTTGTCTCTGCAAACGCACGTGTTACAAACCTTATGTATGCAATTTTTATTTTGCCAACGATTGTGTAAGCACTTTTTTACGTAACTTTTAATTTTTACTGCAGCAATGTAAATAGAAAATAATATTAAGATTTCTTTTTTTTTTTATGAAATAAGGGTGCAAACAAAGTTAAAAATTCCAAAAAAAACGTCCAATTTAAACATTTTTAATGTGTCAAAGTAAAAAGTTTTTTTTTGATACAAGTGATTGAACATACGTTTGTGTTTTCAAATACAAGTTTTTTAAATTATAAAAGTAAAAGGTACTTGAAAATACATCAGTTGAAGATAACCCTTTTTTTGTACTACAGGTAATAGTTTTAGTTTAGTTATTATGAAGCAATGTCAACACATGACTTTTATTGCATCAATGGTGAATTGGTGAAACTTTGCACAACCATTTGACTACAAAATTAGTGGAATTAGATATTCAGGCATCAAAGACGGCTATTACCGGGTAAAACCCGTGATGAATGAAAAACTCTTCAGTGGCACCAAAAATACGATTCGCTACTATCAGAACAAAATTAATGATTTCTCAAAGACTACTAGATTCTCGACAATAACCAGACTCCTGAAGTTCTGAATCCTATTGTTCAATTCACAGATGTGAAATTCAGACCCCTGATGAGCCACCAAACGATCGCCCGGGCAAGCGATGACAAGTAGCGCGAAACATGAGCAAAAGGAATAAAGCCAGAGACGGCAGTACTCACAAGATTGTTGTCGGCACACCCGGTGTACCGGGCCTCGGTCAGCATCAGTTGGTTGCGCGACATCTCGGCCAGCCGCTTGAGCTCCGAGTCGCTGTCGCTCTCCTCGGATGCCGGCCGGCGTTTCTGTAACGTCGATTCACACCGTATGTTGCTGCGCCGTCGCTGTTTGCCATCTACCGATCTCGATAATTGGGTCGGACTTACGTTTCTGTACATCGGGCCGAAACTGCACGCGGACGCGTCCGACTGGCTGTCGAAGAAGTTCCGGTAATCGTCGCCAAACTCCAGGATGCGCTTGGCCCCCTCGATGTCGATAGACTCGCTGTACGGCTCGCTCGAGTACTTGTCCTGCAAAGACATTAAACGTGTTAATTTCAAACTGTACATTAAATATTAGAATAAAAAAAAATGGCACCAGTCAAAGGCTCACCTGGTAGCTGTCCCAGCTGGCGTTCTCGGTGTCGCTGTGGGCCACGGCCAGCGCCGCGAGTACCGGTTTTCCAGGGGAGCTGTCCTCGCGACCGAGGTACCGGAGACTCCTGTATCGACCATCGGCTAGGCTGATGGCCGTGACCGGCTGGGCCGTGGCTCCGGTGGCGACCTCGTCGGCTTCCTCCTCGGACTCGGAGGATGATCTGAGCGGTGGTTTGCCCTGGGGGTCGCTCCAGGAGCTGTTGGCTGGCGTCACGGTGTGGTTGTGGCAGCTGGAGAACGAGCCCGACTTTGAGAGGACGGACGGGCCCCGAGAAGTGCGCGATCGGCGTAGCTTGACGCGCGACAGGATGCTCTCCTCGCTGCCGCCTTGGCCCTGATGTTGGTGGTGCGGCTGCTGGTGGTGGTTGTTGCTGCCGCCGCTGTTGTTCGCGCTGGTCACGTTGTCGGAGCCAGACTCACTTTTGCGACTCTGAGGGGACACGTGGATTTATTAATTTTGGGACATTTGCCGATTTATTATCAGTGGTCTCGAGTTTCAGGAAGATGAAGGGAAAACTCATGCACGATCATACAGTAAAATGTGGCGTCTCCTGCAGCCCATAATTACTATTTCCAACCAAAAAACGACTGTTACAAATACATCCCACTGGATTTTTAATTAACCGGTGACGTCGCGTTGATTGTGCTAAATTGTGTGTCATTTTGAAAAGTTGATTAAAATAAATGGAAATTAAAGAAAAAGTTTTGCGTATCACATAAGAAAAAAGACACGTGATTATCGTCAAAGAAAGCACACGTTGCAGGCATGCAATTAAAAAACTCTTTTACGTACACAGGGAAAAAGGTTCGATAAAAATTTCGCATCTACATTTCCCTATTTTATTTGCTCTATAATGGCCAAGTGCTACAGCCGAGTGTCATTTCCAAGAAAGCAGGGAAACGAGCCCAACCGTACAAAGTAGTTTCCTCTCCTTCCACGCACTTAAAAAATTACCATCACGCATAACTACTCTCGCGCGAAATCGCTTCCTAATTATCCTTGGATCTTGCATCTTGGAAACATTTTCTCCCGAACCCCACCCTATTTTCCAGATTCCAGGTATCGGAAAAAGTAAAAGCTACCTCAATTCCCCCAAACTCGAAGTAAAAAAACGCCCCGAGTCACGCGGAAAAGAGTCTCTGCACGCAAACGAGTGGGATAAGCCAAGGGATAAGCGGGAAAAAGGGCCGGAGCATACAGGCACGCGGGCTTACCACATTCTTCTTGCGGAGCCTGTTTTTCTTGCGGCGCAGCGAGCTGTTCCTCGCCACGCGAGTCTCGTGGCCGTTTATCTGTTCCCCCAGCAGCGTCGACGTTGAGTTATTGAAGGGTACACGTGACTCCCTGCAACAGAGGAAAAGTTGAACCAAAGGCACGTACGGCTGAAGTAGGGCGTTTTCCAGGCGGACACGCCGGTACAAGCCCGTCAATTTATAAAAACAGGGACGCGGGTAATTGCTCGCTGGATTTTCTATCGCAAGTTCTTTATAAGAATTATTGTACCCGCAACGAAACCACTGTTTTGCTCCACGATTTTTCTTGATTCGCGAACATGGACAGAACTGGCACAGCCGAGACGGTTCGATCCCGTACAAGATCGCGTGACCAACAACGCAAATCGGAGCACATATTGTTGGACGTTGCGAGACAGGTCCAAAGATAAAGAAATGTCCAAAAAAAAAAAAAAAAAACTGTACTCACGCCGAGTCCATGGACGACGAGTTGGTGGTGGTCGGATCGTCGACGAGTTTGTTGAGGGCGGTCTCGGAGATGGAGTGTTGGGGGGGAACAAGCTCGTAGCCACAGCCGGACGCGCGCTTCTTGAGGAGGTGAGAGAAGCCAGGGAGGCTCCAGGGCCTGGCGGCACTGGAGCGCCGGTGCTTGTTGCGCATGACGACCTTGGGCGACCCGGCCTCGGACGAGCGGCTGTTCTGTCCCGGGTCGTCCTTGTCGCTTGAGCTGGTGCGCTGCACGTGGTAGCACGTGGCCATGCTGGTGCTCAGGTCCTCCTGGAAGCGCGTGTACTGGCGCTCGACCTCCGAGTCGTCGGTCGTGCACTCGGCGCTCGCGTCTCCGCTGTCCAGTTGGAGATCTGCGTCCGCAGTTGTCAATCGGTAGCACGACTGTGGAGCAACGTGATTTCTTAAAGACGGCTCTTATACTTTTATTCAGTTGGGTCATTGAATAAAAAGGAGTAAATGCGCGTCGTTGTTTCAATAGCATCCATATGAGTTGAATGCAAAGAAAACAATTTTCCTTCTGCACATCAACGCTATCATTTCAAAAAATTGCAAAACAAACGACCCCTTTGCTCTTGTAGGTACAAGATCATTTATAAATCAAAAAATTTAGCAAAAAAACTGCAAATAGATCTCGATGTACCATTGAGCGAGATCCGAAACTGTTTATATACAAAATACTGCTTTCGAATGAAACGCAAAACACTTTATAGGCGATTTGTAAAAATTCATGCTGCTAACACGCACCTGCGAGGCATTCTTGACGTGGCACTTGCTGTTGCTGTTGTGTATCTCCAGCCAGCGCCTGATCCTGGCAACCTTGGCCATGTTGCTCTGCGGGCTCGGCATACCCTTGATCTCTTCGTCGAAGGCAAGCTGTGGCACTTGGTGCTTGCCCTGCGTTCCTTGGCGCACCAATTGTTCCACCTACGAAACGGAACAATCCTCGTTAGCGATGGGTATTTGTTTGATTCTTTTTTTCCCCCTCGATTCACGCGCGATGATTGAGCTTGAAACACTTGACCTTGACGTGCAAATATTTATCAGCAGATCCGTAAGTAAACACAAAAAAAAAAAAAAAAAAAAACCACAGACACTGCATGAAAGAAAAAAGAACACTCGAGGCTCGTGTGCGCGAGATAAACAAGCTAACGTCATCGATGCCATCATCGCGGCAAAAGCAATTGCGTTGAGTGCATATTTTTATTGCCAATCGGTAGATCCGATGCCCCGATCGGCAGACTAGATACACCTCGAAAGTCCACTACAGACCGAAGAAAGAGAAAAAAAAGTCAAATCTTCTCACCTCCTTGACGAGCTTTTGGATGCGCTCCCTTCTGAGCATCCCCTCGTCACTGACAGCTCTGGTATTGAGGACACCTCCAACCTCCTCGTGATCATCGAGGACATCCACGTCACTCGTTGGCTCAACAGCCTCTCGAACAAACTCCAATTGCGTCCTGGCATCGGCGACAGCCTGCGTGCCCTGTTGGTAACAGGCCCACTCCTCTTCGGTCTCCTCCTCGGTGTGGTGCTGTCGCTGCCCAAGTGGATCTTGGTTGTCGCGCTCAGCCGGCACCGCGTTGTTATTGTCAGCTTCGGAGTCCGTGTCCATGTGCTTGAAGTAGAAGGTCGCGCAGTTCTTCGATTTCCGGTTCGAGCTGCACAAAAGAGGAGATACGGTTACCGTGGGAAGCGTGATACGACACTATTCTTTAAACGTCTTTTATTCGTGGCGGCAAAAGTCGCCCGAGAAAACTCCTGTGAAAGACCGCGTGCCAACCCGAAAAGTGCCCATCGCGTGCTCCCCCAAGATTAGCCGAGAAGGGAGAGAAAAAGAGGCCTCAAAACTCACGTGTTGAACCGCTGGGCGGCCTCGTCGAGGTCGGTCCTGCGCCTCTTGGGACTGTCGTTGTTCGCCCCAGGTTGGGTTGCGAGGCCGGTGTCGACCTCGTCGCGCGAGCCTTCGTCAGGGATCATCTCTGGACCCTTGGCCTCCGTCGTGGGCACGGGTTCCGGGTTCGGAGTCATGTTGGCGGTGCACCAGCGATCCTTGCCAGCGTCGGTCTCCTCCTCACTCAGACCAGCTTCCTCGATGTCTGCCTCGGTGCCCTGGTCGCCGCACAGGGCGCTCGCCACGTACGACTGGGCTGCGATGCTTGGTTTTAAGCTCACCGTGGCGCACAACTCCTCGAGATCGTCCTGCGGAAGGGAGATGAGATCGTATCATTTTTTTTACAAGGTAGCTCATGCATCGCAGGCGTTGAGGATGATGAGGTAACTACAACGTACATAGAAGCGTAGTTGACCCAAACGGATGATTACCCTTGGGAGCGAGGATTATGGGTAATGGCAGTGATTGACGTCGAAGTGACGGCCGATTCGTGGAAGTGCAATTTAAAAACGCCGTGGCAAGTCACCAACTATATCACCACGAGCGCAATTACATCGGACAGGAGTAGCGAGCAAACACTCGCTCGTACACGATAACAAAAGGATGGCGAATCGGTGGCGAGCGAATAACGGATTGTTGCTCGCGCAATTATATCCACGCGCGCTCGCCACACGGCAGCGAAATAAAACTCGCTTCCTTGCGATTTTTAATGAATAATAAACGCGGCCATCAATCTTCCCTCAGCGCTGCCCTGATTACTCGGGTGTTGAATAGATCACGCAACTACGAGGGGTATACACGAGGGAAACAATTTCCCGCCCTTGCCTTTCTTCGTTACCTTTTTCTCTTTTTCCTTTCGCCAATCAATCCCGAGCCATCGGCGGTGCTAACGGCCGTTGAAAAGACACGTACACACTGTTGCCGGACTTTTTGTCCACACTGAAGCGTACAATATAATATACATATATGTACGTGGGTATAGGTAGATAAGAGACCGCTATATACATGCTAATGACTCTGACGAACACGGACGATCGGGTACGCGTGAAAACAACTCCATTTTCTTGCGATCGGAGGGAAAAAGAAGTTGAAAACCTGAAAGGACAATTGGTATGGCCGACTTTTTTCTGAGCCGCGCGTGCTGCAGTCATTTCGATGATGTAGGCGTACTTGGGAACATGCAGCGACACGGGAGCAGTGACGCAACGCAGTCCGCTAATCGGTTGTTAATCGCGATGTGTTTGGGTACGCAGGACTCACCTCGAAGTAGGAACCATCGTCGGCGGATCTGTTTTCGCAAGAGACGTCGCTGTCGGAGGAGGACGACTGTTCACCAGCCGAGGACGACGACGATGACGTAAGGGACTTGGCCTCGAGTTTGCCACTGCCGGTCTTGGGCGGGGTGCAGCCCAAAGTCGACAACTGACCCTCGGAGAGCGAGCGCTTGCTCTTCAGCCGGCGCCTGGAGCGCAACGAGTGGCGGCGCCTGCCGTTGTTGATTATCGCGAAATGGCCACTGCCGCTGGTGGTCCTGGCCTCGTCCTGCGACGACGACGCCGATGAGCTATCGACGCTGGTTAGGGACTGTCGGCGGCTCAGGCGCGGCTGCTTGGTCACTGGCTCCTCGTCGTCGCTGTCGCTGCTGCACCGGCTGCCGGATGGACACTGAGGACAGACAAAATGCGTTTAGGTATGTGGGTACTTGTGGAACTATTGTCTTGATAATGATGACGTTGAGGCTCGATTATCGCGAAAATGTCACTTGGTGTGAGTAATTTGGTGGAAAGCAACTGCTCGGATTGATTTCTTTTCACAATAACTTAACGAGCCATAAATTGACTTACACGACCATTAAGCGAGTCAGCTTGATGCTTTTTTTTTTAAATTATTTTTAATTGTAGTTGACACGTATCCGAGTGTAGCACGTGGGTTGAAAAAAGTTGAATAACTCTACACGCGACTGAAGTATAGTCAATATATAAGGGGTGGACAGTATAGGTCTATTCGAGTTTAAATGCTCGCGAAGATCCTGGCAACAATGAAAACCAGCAAGGAATAAAGATGTACCTTGAAATGCTAAGCGATCAACGTGATTGACGAAAAAAAACACGTGGTTGCGAGACGTGAATACACTTGCCGAGCGTCCAACCTGTGTAGTGCCAGGAACTTTTGTGAGTTATGTGTGGACTGCCTGCTAACTTCCGTACAGTGGCAACTGTCCCCTCCCCGGTGTACTATAGGTATACGCATGTGCATTGTTTATTCGGAGATTAGAGGAGAAACGTTTTCGTTCGAGCTATTGTCTTGGCTGGCTGATAAGGAAGCTCATTACGGTAATAGTCTTGAAATCGATGGTCGCTTTGGGAGCCTCCGCCTATGCTTTCGATGTAAGAAAAAAGAGATTTTCGACAAATAGGTTTATGTTTGAATAACCAATTATCAAGTACGAGGAATTGACTCGGTAGGTAAAGAAAACGATGACATCAGAAAATATGTCCACTATGCGGTCCAATTCTTTTAAAAAACTTATTTCAGCTTGAATTTTTGAAATCAAAAGCTTCTTTTGAAACCACGGAAATGAGTACTTGTTTTTCTTTTACGTTATAATTTATTAGTACAATTCTTTGTCTCGTCATTATAGAAAAAAAAAGCGTTTTAACTGTACATTAAATGCATTCTGATAAAATTTATAGTACGAGATAAATGTTATGACAAGAGAAGGATAAAATAATTTTTCAACAGAATTGGAAAACTGTAGTATCAAAAAGACGAGTTAAAATGTCTGTGGGTATCTCTAAAAGCGCAATATTTTCTCGCCCTGAGATTTTTTCGATTCAACGTTAAGAATTGTTTCATTATTTTTTCCAAGTTATATGAGATGCAAACTAGTTGAAAACTTTTAAGCCCGACTCAGTAATTTTTTAAAAATTTAAAATAATTTAAATGCAACTTTTTTTAATTAAAAAAAAAAAAAATACAAATGACATTTCTGTTATTACCGTAATGGTACTTTTTTGTTCGGAATTTTTTAACGAAATTTCGTTTGTCACATCTGCTCCCTATATATCTTTGTACACAATGGTCATCTGGTTGATGATTTAAAATCTTATTGGCGACGACATTACAAACAGAATATTCAAATTTGGGGCTACAAAAAAAATTGACAGTGTTTTCGTTAACTCCGGGGTATAAAACGGACACGTCCAAGTGTCAAAAAAATAATCACTTGGTAAAATTAAATCATTCGTGGCACGCAATTAAAAAGTGTCAAAAGTAGGCTGCAGAATAATAACGACCCGTACTTGTATGTATGAATTATAAAAAAAGAAAAGTTTTCTGAACTTGTTTTAATTTTTACGAAACCAAAAATGGATATTGGATTATAACTTATACACGTATAAACACACAAAATGAAGGTACTGCTTCGATCCACTTAGCAAAAACAGCACATAATTACCCTCCACCCGATCAATGCAATTGATGTTTGCGTTGAACAATACAAACGACCCAACGCGAGCACAAAAAAAGGGGCATAAGAAGGATGCGTGCACCTTGCGGTGTTCGAAACGGGGGCAAAAACGAAATCGAAAAAGTCAAGAAAAGTTAAAAATACCCAATCAAACGAGAGATAAGAGCCCCTTGTGGTACAAGGCACAGGTACACAGCTCCCTGAGGTCACGCGCACATGTACTTATACCAACGTATACAAAATTACCGAGACCCAACCTACTTTCGCCGTTATGCCCTGGTAAGGAGGAGGGTCCGATGGCTACTGGTGTACCTACACACTCACACAGCATAGACAATGAGGATCCCTCGATTGATCCCCCTCCCACTCGTCCGCGTTCTTTCGGGGAAAAAGATGCGGCGCGCTTCCTCGTAAAACGATAAAGCATTTCTGTGCGCATCTTCTCCCCCCACCCTGGTCATCTTCCGTGAGAGTTGGGTTTGAGGTTCCATGTGCCCCTCATCCAGAGAAAATGAGAACCAAAAAAGGACACCAAGGGAGGGAAACAGGCGCGCGTGGATGTATCTCCTTCACGAAAGTGGAACCGACATTAACCCATATATAGCGCGAGGTGGGAGGAGATTCGCTTTTTCCCCTTTTTCTTTCATTCTTTATAGTACATGTACCCCGTTTGTCTCGCGTTAGATCGACGCGCGATAACCGGGGCTCCTAACCGATTTAATGTCCAGCCGTCACGGCGTGCACATGGTTTCATCCCGTAATTACCACCGTAGCACGGACCAAGCCTTATTTCTCGGATGATTAGGGAGTTTTGTTTCTTTTTTTCCTTCCGCGTTTTACGGTCCATCGCGGGCAGTAAAGCCGCTTTGTTACGGAAAACAGGGACAAAAAGTTTCATTGCGCTACTCTCGTCCAAAGGGGATCGGAGAACAGTCGGTCACGCAATAAGACGCGGATCGTACACTTTCGAGTTTTAGTAACTATGTCTTAGGCAAAAAGACGACCATCCAAGGGGCATGGTTGTACACGCGACTCGAGCTCGGAAACCCCTTTTCCTCTGCAACGCTGCACATCGACCGTAAAATATTTCAAAAAAACCTGCTCAAGCGAGAACATACGACTGGGGAGGGGGGGAAGATACTCGCACACCAACTCCCCGCAACCCCCGTCCATCAGATGCCACGCGGCAATAAAGCAGATGGATTTTTCCACGCGCGCGCGATCCTCAAGGAAGCCGACCATAATACCCGCTCTTGGTTTCCTTAAATCACGCCCGAAGCCTCTCGGATGTTGCCGTATACGTGTATCTTACGGCCCGGGTCTTTAACCACGAGTCCACAACCGCCGACGCGACCGCAAACACGTCGAGAGAGGAGGGGTGCGCGAAAAACCCGCAGGATCGTTAATTTGATTCCCTGGCCCGATTCCGCGGCGGTGTAAATCCTGGGTACCCCCGGTTCTTGCACCTGCCAGTCTCCCTCTCTCTCTCTAGCTCCACACTCGGGCAACGGTGGAGATAAAGAGCCGGGGAGGGTAACGAATGCGCGGATGTTAATAGATCGGCGGGCATGTATGGTTCTTTGTACCCTTGATGTGAGGTTGGGCTGAGCGATGTTTATGCACCAGTACTCCCAGGATCCGCGGGAGCTGATGCTCGTGGATATGGTGGGACTGGTTTATGCGATCTATGCCTATACTCTGGCTGGAAGACTTTATGAAAGTCGTTTACGTGCATCTCGTGTGCAGCGGGATCGGGCGATCGATCGGGCTGTTGTGCTTCGTTTGCGGTGTGCTATCGTCCGATCACAAAGATTCAGCGGAAACGGACATCGAGAAAGGCTTCTTGGAGATGAAACTGTTTTGTGAAGGCTTCATCGACTCGTGCGTCGAAACAAACCCTCTCTTTTTTGCGCGATGGTGATTGACCACTCTCTTTTCAACCATACAGCCTTTATGGTCTTGTTGGAGACCATTGATTTTAGAATGGATATATGTATGACGATTACCTTGAGGCCTTTACAGCCAAGACCAGGACCCCACGATTGTTCCGAATTATCAACAAGTTGGAGTATCAGTTTTATCGCGGACGTCCATCATTTGAGATATAATATATTTAAGAATCGAAACGAGTGGCGTGCTGATTACTCCAACGATGTAATAGGGATCGGTTCAAGCTCGATAAACAGTTAGACCACCAAAACTCTCGTCTTTCGGAGGTAACGCAAACAAAAAAAAGTTGGGGCAATAGTGTAAGGGTTGAACATGTTGTGCACAGGGGGAAGCGTAATAGCCTCTGAGGATATGAATCTCCTCCTTAAACTCGCAAAACAGAGAGAAACGAAGTGGGCGGATTTTGTTTTTATTTCGAGGTACTTCTCATCCTTGTAATTTCGATTCGCGTCGTCCAGGTCACGCTGCTCCTTTCCAAGAAACATTATCTGGTAATAAAAAAATTTTACCCTACTGTACTTTAATTTTTGCTCGCTAGGTGGTTTTCGAGACTGGAAAACTACTGTGTACATCCACCGTCATCACGAGGAGACGAAGGTTAAAGGATCGCGGTAGCTGATTCCTAATTTTCGGGTAGGTTGTTTCATTGCAAAAAAATGGCAAGCTGTGTGTTATGTTTTCAATTACGTGGATATTACAGTGATGCTTGTGTTAAGAACAGCAAACTCTGGATTGGACGTATTTCATTTAATCGAGATGAATGTCAGGTGCAAACGGTAGTTTTCATTTATGTCCTCTCATTTCAGCTATTTTTACGTGTATTTGATTTTTTTTTCAAAGTATTCAGAAAAGCGAGTTTGCATTAAGATATAATCCCACAGGTGTAATTAACGAGGTGAAAATGTTGAAACTGAAAATCAAAGTGTTTCGGTGCATCTAGAAAAAAGCAGATATTTTTCTTCATGACTCACATCGTGCATGAAACATGAAATTCCAGACTTATCCCCTGCAACTTTAATATGCTGAAAGCCCCGTTGACCAAAGTCAATGGCCTCGTTGCAAGAAAATAACTCAGTGCCAAACATTTATTCCAACTGTTTTTTCTCTCCTCGGTCACGTACGAGGTTTTTCAGCTAATGAGTTTTTCAGTTAACGCGAGAAACAGGAGGCTAGACGGGGATTGATAATTTTCCAGCTATCTGATCGCTCGGGAACGGCTCCCCTGCTGAGTC